GTTTCAATATACATTACCAGTATACATTAAATTAGTTCCTTTACCACTTCCCAAATAAATGAAGTTATAACTGTTAGTTGTCACCATCTTGTAATAATTATTGAGCTAGTAATCATTTTTTTTGAGACGGAGTCTCACTCTGTTGTGCAGGGTGGAGTGTGATGGTGTGATCTCGGCTCACTGCAACCTTTGTCTTCTGGATTCAAGTGATTCTCCTGCCTCAGCCTCCCAAGTAGCTGGAATTGCAGGAGCATGCCACCACACCCAGCTATTTTCTGTATTTTTAGTAGAGATGAGGTTTTGCCATGTTGCCCAGGCTGGTGTTGGACTCCTGGCCTCAAGTGATCCGCCTGCCTGGCCTTACTAATTTTTTTTTTTTTTTTTTTTTTTAAAGACGGGATCTCACTCTGTCGCCTAGGCATGAGTGCAGTGGTGCGACCTCCGATCACTGCAACTTTCACCTCCCAGATTCAAGTGATTCTTGTGCCTCAGCCTCCCAAGTAGCTGGGATTACAGGCATGTGGCACCATGTCTGGCTAATTTTTGTATTTTTAGTAGAGGTGGGGTTTCACCATGGTAGCAAGCTGGCCTTGAACTCCTGATCTCAGGTGATCCGCCCACCTCGGCTTTCCAAAGTGCTGGAATTACAAGTCTGAGCTGCTGCTCTCAGCCTGGCCTTACTTCATGTATTATAAAAATTTCAAGATGTTATTAATGTTGTTTTAAAGTCAATATTCATTTGCTTACCTACCTATACATCTTTTCTGGTATTTTAAATTTCTTCCTCCAGTTCCGTGGGACCTATTTGTGGTAATTTTTATTCTGTCTGCAGAACTTACTTTGTTATTTCTTTTAATGAAGGTTTGGCTGGGCTTGGTGGCTCACGCCTGTAATCCCAGCACTTTGGGAGGCCGAGGCGGGTGGATCATCTGAGTCAGGAGTTCAAGACCAGCCTGACCAACATGGTGAAACCACTTCTCTACAAAAATACAAAAATTAGCTGGGTGTGGTGGCGTGTGCTTGTAATCCCAGCTACTTGGGAGGCTGAGGCAGGAGAATTGCTTCAACCTGGGAGGTGGAAGTTGCAGTGATCCAGGATTGGGGCCACTGCACTCCAGCCTGGGCAACGGAGCAAGACTGTCTCCAAAACAAAAAAAAACACACACACACAAAGGTTTATTGACAGTGACTTCAGTAGCTATGGAATTCTGGTTCGGAGTCTTTTTTTTTTTTTTTTTTTAGCACATTAAAGATGTCCTACTGCCTTATGCCTTCCTTAATGTTGAAAATTTAGCAGTCTTGTTATTGCTCCTTTGAAAATAATGTTTTTTTGGTCTGGTTGCTTTTAAGATTTTTATTTGTCTTTGATTTTCAGCAGTTTTACTATGTTGTCCTGTAGTCGTGATCTATTGTCATATAACAAATTACCCCAACATTTAGCTGCTTAAAACTACACTGATTTGTTATTATCTGCCAGTTCCTGTAAGTCAGTGGTCCAGACACAGCTCAAATGGGTTCTCTGTCTCCTTTTCTCTGAAGGTGCAGTCAATGTTGGCAGAGCTGGGGTTTTAGCTGAAGGCTTGACGGGGGAGGAATAGGCTTCCAAGCTCATGTAGTTTTGGCAGGATTCAGTTCCTGGAGGGTTGTTTGACTGAGGGCCTCAGTTTCTACCTGACTATTGGCCACCCTCAGTTTCTCGCCCTTTTGGTCTTTTCAGTGTGGTAGCTTGAGTTATCAAAAGATGAAAGCTGACAAGGCAGTAGAGTCTTAGCAAGAGGGAAGTCACAATTGTAACATAATCATAGAAGTAGTATCCTCTCGATGTTACTGTATTCAGAAGTAACTGAGGGGAGGGTATTTCACAAGTCTGTGAGTATCAAGAGTTTTGGGCACTATTAGAGGGCATGTCAGAAGCTGCCTTTCACATGTGCACCTAGGTGGTTTTCTTTGCATTTATTTTGCTTAGGTTCTCTGAGCTTTTTGAATAAGTGGTATGATATCAAATAGTTTAATGTATACTTAAAAGTCCCAAGTGGAAAGGACAGAGGGGAGAAGTAGTTTGAAGAAATAACAACTAAGCATTTTTGAACATCTGGGCCATCTTTAGGTCTGCTTCTATTGACCATTTCCCCTCTTGACCATGGATCACACACATATCTAGCTTTGTTGTGTATCTCATCAGTTTTTGAGGTATGCTGTAACTTTTTGTGTAAAAAGAGTAGAGGCTGCAGTAATGTATTTACCCCTGGTAAAGAGGTGCGCTTTTCTCAAGCAGTTAGTGTGTGAGACAGGGTCAGTCTAATTTGTAATTGATCATCTCTGAGCTTTGTTAAATTCAGTTAATCACCGGCTTTGCATGCTTTGAGGGTGGCATCAAGACTTTCCCTTCCAGCAGAGTTTGACATTTGGCCCTCGTGAAATTCCTGAGGTGTCTTATTTTTTATATCGGAGTTGCCACCTTTCCAAACTTTGTGAGGTCTTGTTCTACTTTGTACCTGACTGCCAACTTTTTAGGTTGCTACAGAGTTCGCTCTGCTTTGTGGTCCTGCTCTAGGCTTTCCGTGTCAGAAGACATCATTCTCCACCCTGTTGTTCTATCTCTAGCCTTAGGAGGGCCTCTGCAGTGCATTTGGAATGTAAGGTTTCTTCCAGGGCTGCCCTGGCTTTAGTGTTTGGGCCCTATGCAGTTGGTGAAGGCCTATGGGAAAAAATTGTGGTAGGTGTGCAGACTCACTGTAGCTGAAGCTCCTTAGGATTCTGATCAGTCATGCTGGCTACAAGTGGTCATTAAGTTTGTTAGAGGTTTGAGTGGTTTTTTCTTATTCTTGTCTGAGGTCAGTTCTTCCTGCCTCTCTGCTAGGGATGAAAGCAGCTATGAGTCCCTTTTCTTTAACTTTATTTATTTTTGAGATGGAGTTTCACTCTTGTTGCCCAGGCTGTGAGTGCTATGGCATGGTCTTGGCTCACTGCAACCTCCGCCTCCCAGGTTCAAGTGATTTCATACCTCAGCCTGCTAAGTAGCTGGGATTACAGGCGCCCACCACCACACCCAGCTACTTTTTGTGTTTTTTCTTTTTAGTAGAGATGGAGTTTCACCATTTCTGCCAGGCTGGTCTTGAACTCTTGACCTCCAGTGATCCATCCGCCTCGGCCTCCCAAAGTGTTGGGATTACAAGCGTGAGCCACCACGCCCGGCCTGAGTCCCTTTTCTGTTCCCAGAAAAGCTTGTGCTTTCTGGGATTAGTTAATATAGACTTTCCTTTGTTTTTTCAGCTGTGTTGGGTTTATACATTTTTTAAAGTTTATCCAGCTTGTTCTCATTGTAGAGATGAGAGCGATATCTTTTATCTTTTACATTGGAGTAAATAAATGATTATTTTTCATTTAAAATTATGAGAGACATGTAATTGTCTATAGTCATCCATAGGTATATCTACTTTTGGTTCCTGGCACGTAGTTGGCTGTCAATACTTACTGAAAGAATTAATGTTTTTTACTGCCTAGTGTATTGTTGAGAACCACTTATCCATGATTTAGATACTAATTGATGTCTTGTATGATCTTTGATATCTTAACATCTCTCTCAAAGATGTGTGCTTCGCTTACAGGCCAGTTAGCATAATTTTTTTTTTTTTTTTTTGAGACGGAGTTTTGTTGTTGTTGCCCAGGCTAGAGTGCAATGGCATGATCCTGGCTCACTGCACCGTCCACCTCCTGGGTTCAAGTGATTCTCCTGCCTCAGCCTCCCAAGTAGCTGGGAATACAGGCGTGCACCACCATGCCTGGCTAATTTTGTATTTTTAGTAGAGATGGGGTTTCACCATGTTGGTCAGGTGGGTCTCAAACTCCTGACCTCAAGTGATCCACCTGCCTTGGCCTTCCAAAGTGCTTAGATTACAGGTATGAGTCACCGTGCCCGGCCCCGTTAGCGCAATTTTGAATAAAGTCTTGATTTCAAGTCTTGAAATTAGGTTTTGTTAGCTCTGCAACCTTTGTTCTTTTTCAAAGGTGCTTTGCCAGGTCATTTGCATGTAAATTTTAGAACAAAATTGTCAATTTCTACAAAAAAAATCTGGAGTTTTGAGTGTTACAGGTTTGAATCTGTAGATCAAATCTGTAGATCAGCTTACTGCTTATTTAAGTCGTCTTTAATTTCTCTCAGCATGTTTTACAGTTTTCAGTTTATGCTTTTCACATTTTGCCAGACTTATCCCTAAGTATTTAATAGTTTTTGATATTATTAAACTGTTGTCATTAAAACTTGCTCTCCAACTAGGTCTTGTCCAATAAGCATGTGGCTCCTGATCATCTGTTGCAAATCTGCCAGCGCATCGGTCCTATGTTGGATAAAGAAATTCCACCCAGTATTTCAAGAGTCACTTCTTTACTTGGTGCAGGAAGGCAGTCTTTGCTACGTACAGCAAAAGGTACCTTAATTTGAAGAAGTGTTCTGCTTTGTATTAATAGCCTAATAATGATTATAATTGTGAAGTAATGTAAGCATTGTGGAAGAAAGGTGATAATGTAACTATAAATCATGCTGTGGACTATAAAATTCTCTGCGTTTAGCATAGAACATTGAATTTTATTACATAAGTGTTTAATGGGTCCTTCTGCATTAAAAAGTTGATAAAGATATAGATGTTAAGCTAAAAAGCTTGAATTTATTCTGAGATGTTGTTTGAGGTTTTATCAATGTGAGTTCTTAATTTTCCATTTTGTAGCTCACTCATAACTTCATTGAATGTAACTGTATGTGTCTAATAAACTCTTTAAATGCTAGAAGTATTTCATTTGATATTTAGTTTCTGAAAGCCCTTTGTTATAAAGGGAAGTGATTTTCTAAATTTGGTAGCAGCTTGAAAACAAGCACCAAAAATGTAAAATTGCATGGTTCTTTTTTTACTAATTTAATTTTTTTGCAAAGTTATGTGCTAGCAAAATGTTTGAAATTGCTATTCTTTTTCTGTTAGCTTGGTATATATGACTCAGACTAAGTATATGTATGTGATATAATCTATGTGTACATGTGGCTAAACTGCTAATGGGCAAAGATTGTTGGTTCTTCTGATCCTGAGTATACATCAAGTTCATCCCATGATTATTTTTTATTACGAGCTATTGCTGATGTGATGCTATCTCTTAGATGCACCACCAGTATAAAGCTTAACTGAGAAAGAACACCCCTCCCTCTTAGTTCCATGCCAGACTGGTTTGTTAGGTTTAGTTGTTTCTTAGTGCTCTAGCCATGTCACCCTGTGGCACTAATCAGGAAACTGTTTATATTCTTCCTCTTCTGTGTCCCTATTCACTTTGTAATTAGCTGGTTATATGGTAGTTAATTGGTAGCCTGTTTTCCTTTGTTTTCTTTACTTGTGTCAAGCTCCATGTTGTTGTTTTGTGATGAGCAGTGATTTAGAACTGGCCAGACCTTAGAAGAGTCTTCAGCAAGCTGCCCTAGGGTAGGGGCATATTCTCTATTTGTTTTGTACTGGTACCCCAAGAGGATGCCTTGTAACTGCTCTTTGGTCATGATAGTGGAAATGAATCCGTTCATGTAAAATGCAATATGCCTGTTAGTTTGGGGCACCCGAGGCTCAGTAGAGGTTTAGTATGATGCCTTCCCTTTCTTCTCTGAGTTATGAAGAAACTAATTTCTGGCACAGTGTGACTGCTTAAAACCCTATGTTCTGCTATCTCCTATAGAGGAGAGCAGACATTTTTTTCTTAGTGCATTTGCTGGTAGGTCAAGGAGGGATGGACTTTGAATTAGTGTTCAGAGTCACAGATCCTGCATATGTGCTCTTCAGTAGAGGATTTTCTGTGATCCTAAAATGAAGGGAAAGCTATGTGATTTATCAGTATTTCCTAAAGAGAGAGACTAAAGTCATGGCAGTATTGGCCAAATTAATTTTAAAACTGAACAAGTCATGAATTTTCATATAAATCAAAGAACTTTTTCCTTATAAAAGCTTCCATTTTTGAAAAGTTGGATCAGTTGTAAGACCTTTTATCTTTAGTATTGTATGATATAATTCTACATTGAAAAATAAACACTTGGCATGAAATGGGACTTGGAGTCAAGATCTGGTTTTCTGGTCCATCTTTACCAACCATTGCTGTGGATCTCTTTAAAGGCCCTAGAACCTTTGAGCCTCAGTTACCTCACTTGTAAATTGGCAAAAATACCTACCTCACAGGGTTGTTGTGAGGATTCAATGAGCTAATGTATGTTGAAAGCACTTTGTGAATTGTAAAGTGCTACACAAATGTTAGTTGTTGTTGCTGCTGTATCTGAGATGTCTTAATTTTCTTTTTCTTCAGAAATAGTCTAATAAACCTCCAGGGCTTTTCTGTTAAAGTATATTAGTTGGTAAAATGTTGAATAAACAGTTTATTACAATATACGTAAGTATTCTATAAAATCTTTCTTGGGGTTAACTTTCAAGATTTTATGTGTATCTAAAATTCATTTTAAAGACTGCAGGCACACAGTTTGGAAGGGCTCTGCCTTTGCTGCTCTTCATAGAGGAAGACCTCCTGAAATGCCAGTGAATTATGGTTCCCCACCAAATCTTGGTAAGTAAGGTTGGCCTTTGAGATGCTTGAAATATTTCTTTTTACATTTCTCAACAACCTTTATAAATGCTGTATTAAAATTTAAAAAGAAATACTGGTTGAAATGTTTTGATAGTAATAAGTATCAAATATCAAATTATTGTTTAATTACTAAAAATAAAGTTAATAAAAAAGAATCTTACTGTAGTAAGAAGTCTATTAGTGAATATAGAAGAATAGAATTGGGAAGAAATTGTGTCCTTAGGGTTTCTTGAACATAGATTTTTGTGACCCTCTAGAAATTGTTATTTGAGTTTTTCTTAGATTTTTCCATATTGGCTCTCCCTTAACCATTTTCATTGTTTTTATTTCCTAGTGGAGATACATCGAGGAAAACAACTCACAGGGTGTTCTACTTTTAGTACAGCATTTCCAGGAACTATGTATCAGCATATAAAAATGCACAGAAGGATTCTTGGACATCTGTCTGCTGTTTACTGTGTAGCATTTGATAGGACAGGACATAGAATCTTTACAGTGAGTTAACGTTTTAAACTTGATTTGGTATCATCTAGAGTACTTCAGTGTGCTTCAGAATCATCTGGCAAATCTTACAAAATATGTAGTTTCTGTTTCCCATCCTCAGAGATTTTGACTCAGTAGGTATGGTGTGGGTCTCATGAATTCGTATTTTTAATAAGTGCGTCAGCTGAAGATAGTCAGGACTCTGTGCTGTTTTGAGATACAGTGATTTAGAGTAGTGGTTCTTAAATGTGGTATTTAAGGATGCTTAAAAATAGACATACCTAATACTTTCCCTCTAGCACATTCTAGACTTACTGAATTAGATTACATTGTAATTAAATATATGTATTAACTGTAAACCCCCCAAAATAAAAAGCTCCTCAGACCTCTACAAGTGATTCATGGTCACATTAACCACTGGTTCAGGAAAGTGGGTTGATTATAAAATAACCCATTAGTGTTCAAGTAAGTATTAAAAACCTATCTGAAAAAATTTGGAATTTATCATTTTAATGTTTTAAGGGTAAATTAGGATAGGTGAGAAGTTTAACTTTGATTTTGCAGGTGTACAATTCAAGAGTAGATAATCAAGTGTTTCTTGAATGAATGGGTGCTGGCTAGTACTGTAAACTTGAGACTGTGTTGTTTGTGAGGAGGCTGTTCCCACCATTTTTGTTTGTTTTTGGGATTGCCACTTAGTCCTGTTTCTCACTATGAAGTATAGATCTGTTCCAACATTCATCACATTATTTAGCTTGGTGTGAATAGACTTTTCTTTTTTTGAGACGGAGTTTCGCTCTGTCGCCCAGGCTGGAGTGCAGTGGCGCAGTCTCGATTCACTGCAAGCTCTGCCTCCTGGGTTCTTGCCATTCTCCTGCCTCAGCCTCCCAAGTAGCTGGGACTACAGGCGCCAGCCACCACGCCCGGCTAATTTTTTGTATTTCTTAGTAGAGGTGAAGTTTCACTGCATTACCCAGGATGGTCTTGATCTCCTGACCTTGTGATCCGCCTGCATCGGCCTCCCAAAGTGTTGAGATTACAGGCGTGAGCCACTGCACCCGGCCTAGACTAACATTTTACCATTGTTAGTTGATATAAGAGAGCCATGAACTTTGAGTTGGACTTCTTACTTTGCAGAGAACTTGGGGGAAAATAGTATTGATAATGGAGTCTGACCCATAGAAATGATAACTTGGCAGTATTTTTGTGTGCACTTTCTTTGCCTTAAAGAAAAATACTGTTATTCCATAAGTGTTCTGACCGTAAGTCATAATTTATTACATAAATAACAAAGTATTCTATAATTGGAAAGAGAGAAGTTAAAGATAGTTAATTTGGATGGCATATAAAAGGTATTCTTTTAATATCATTTAAAAGATTTGCTGTACTAACATTAATTTTTGGATATCTTTTTTCTTAGGGTTCAGATGATTGTTTGGTAAAGATTTGGTCAACACATAATGGCCGCTTGTTATCTACATTAAGAGGTCATTCTGCAGAAATTTCAGATATGGCAGTGAACTATGAGAATACAATGATTGCCGCGGGGAGCTGTGATAAAATTATTAGAGTGTGGTGCTTGCGAACTTGTGCCCCGGTTGCTGTGCTCCAAGGACATACAGGATCAATTACATCTTTACAGGTAAACTTTTAGCTTAGTGGGCACATTCCTATATATATTTTCACCTTTTTCTTTAAAACAGTTTCTTTGGAATTGAGAAGTAGTAAGATGTGTATTAGTAACTATATATTTTAAGTAAGAGAAATGATAATTCATACTTCCACAAATCATGGAAGGCTGATGAAATGAAGATCTAATGCATATTTACATGAAGGCTTATTGATATTTTGGGGTTTATGGTTGAACTGGATGACTGTCAGTTGCAAACTGGTGATAGATTGTTTTTCAACTTTAAAACTTGTGGATTTTGCTAAGGTGGTTTTGTTTTTTGTTTTTTGTTTTTTGTTTTTTTTTTTTGAGACTGAGTCTTGCTCTGTTGCCCAGGCTGGAGTGCAGTGGCGCGATCTCAGCTCGCTGCAACCTCTGCCTCCCGGGTTCAAGCGATTCTTGTGCCTCAGCCTCCCAAATAGCTGGGATTACAGGTGTCTACCACCATACCTGGCTAATTTTTGTATTTTTAGTAGAGATGGGGTTTCACCATGTTGGGCAGGCTGGTCTCAAACTCCTGACCTCAAGTGACCTGCCTGGCTTAGCCTCTCTAAATGCTGGGATGACAGGCAGGAGCCACCGCGCCTGGCCGCTTTGTTGATTTAATGTGCCTAAATATTTAAAGTTTTTTTCCACGATAAGCAGAGGATAATTTTGAACCTATACAGAGTAGACAGAATAGTATAAACTCCTATGTATCTGTCAACCCATGGCCAGTTCTTTCCTAACTGCCTCATCTTGTACCTAAAGCAAATCTTAGATTTTATATCATTTCTTCTGCAAATGTTTCATTCTGTATTTCTAAAAGATAAGGATTCCTCTTCCCCCCTTTTTTCATAGCAACTGTTATGGGAGGAAAAGATTCCTTTTTAAAACAACTACAACACTATTATCACACTATTTATTGATGTTCAAGTTTCCAGTTGTCTCGTAAGTGGTATTTTGTTTAGGTTGTTTGAATCAGGAGCAAAACAAAGCCTGCATGTTACAATTGGTTGCTATAGACTAAAGAAACTTAAAATATGAATTTTACCTACCTATGCAGTTAAAAAAAATTATCTTGCAGTTTCTCTGTTGAAGGACCTGGGTTATCTATAGTTTCCCCACAGTTTGGATGTTGCCAGTTGTATCCTATTGGAGTAGTTTAATATGTTCCTCTGTATTTCTATTAAGTTGGTTATTGGATCTAGAGCAGTGGTTCTCTTTAATGTGCATGAGAATCACCTGGAGGGCTTGATTAAAACTTTGTAGGCACTACCCCCAAAGTTTCTGATTCAAAATGTCTGGGGTGGGGGTATGGGAATTTCATCACTGATAGAAAATTGATCACATTGAGGTGTAAGTTCTTCCATCAGAAGGCACAAAATGTCTAGTGTTTCTCTGTATTCCTCACTGATGATCGTTGCCTTACATCCATTAGTTGTTAGGGACAGAAAATGTTGCTCTTACTAGTGCAGGGTTCTTGGCTCTCAGTGTAACAGAAATTAATAGGAGGCTGGGCAGACTTCCCAGACAAGATTTATTAAGACTTATGCCGAGACTTATTAAGACTTGTGCCTAGCAGTGGCACATGCCTGTAATCCCAGCACTTTAGGAAGGCTGAGGTGGGAGGATCACTTGAGCTCACAGGTTTGAGACCTGGCCTGGGCAACATAGCGAGACACTACCCCCAACCCCAGAAATAGTTTGGCAAGGTGGCACACGCCTGTAGTCTCAGTACCCTGAGGTTGAGGGAGGATTGCTTGAGCCAGGAGGTTGAGGCTGCAGTGAGCCATGATCGCACCAGTACATTTCAGTCTGGGTGACAAAGTGAGACTGTCTCAAAAAAAAAAAAAAAGAAACTTATGCCTGAAACATTGGGAATAAGTGAGACAGTGAAGGAAGAAGGGTCCTCTGGCTGGCTCCCCAGGGGAATGCCTTGCCATGTCTTAAGGAGGGTGATGTGCAAAACTCATGAAGTAGGTGAACGTTATTACATGTGTGGGGTGGAGCGCAGGGTGTGCAGATGTACTAAAGAATCATGCTAACACATATGTCGCATGATGAGAGGGGGAGATAAGCCCCTCTAGGTGAAGGTTTTAGTATTACAATGAGGCTCAGGGTTAGCATTGGTCCTTCTCCTGGCCTTGTGCACATATGGGCAATAGAGTTAACTCTCCCGAGTAGGATTCATGGCGGAATGCTGCTTGTTTTAGTTTTTTTAGACAGCTTACAAGGTCTGGTCAGTGAGTATGGGCCAGTGGGGATGGTGCTGAAATGGTGGTCAGTGGTCACGTATGGAGAAACATGTTAGTGGGGGTGGGCCAAGTCCTGTCCCTACTACATGGTTTCAGTGCTTTTCTATCATTTTTTGAAACTTACGTTTGGTTAGGCTGAAGTAAATTGTTAGATGATTTGTAAGGCTTTTATTTTGTTTTGATTTATAAGACTTTTAAAGGCACATTGGTGTCTCTCATTAGAATTTGGTTAAAACTGGTGGTGGTTCAGTTTTTTTATGCACATTCACCTAGGCTATATATTAGTGGTCACTTAAATGGATTTGGTGTGAACTTTTGTGATAAAAAGTGACTTTTGTTCTCTTCTAGTTAATATTCTCAAAGAAAAGAGAGTGAGTAGCTATTATGGGATGAAGATAGTTATAATTGAGATAGTGGTTTTTGTTTTTCGTGTTTTTTTTTGGCCCAGGCGGAGTGCCGTGGTGTGATCATGGCTCATTGTAACCTCAGCCTGGGGTCAAGGTCTGCCCATCTCAACCTCTCAAGTAGCTAGGACCACAGGTGTGTGCTACCAACCCCAGCTGTTTACAGTTTTTATAGGGATGGAATCTAGCCATGGTGTCCAGGCTGTTCTTGAATTCCTAGGATCAAGCAGTCCTTTTTCCTCCACCTCCCAAAATGCTGGAATTACAAGCCTGAGCCACCTTGCCTTGCTGAGATAGTGTTTTATTTTGGAAGTTTAAGCAAGACTTTTGGTTTGTCTACATGTAGTTAAGAAGTATATTGTTTTCTGGAAGATTTTATAGTTTGAAAATCAAATTCTTGCTAGGTTTCACCGTTAACATTTTATAGTTTGATATGAATGTATTGACAATATAGCAGCAAATAAGAACATTTATACTTTGAGAGGGTGCCTGTCTTAAAATCATCTTGGAATTCTTTGAAAGTGGAGTTCTAATCTTCCCTGAAATGATTCTTCTTGTAGTGGGGGCTCACGTGCGTTTATTGCTTACTGAGTATATCTGAACAATCTACTTGGTTAGTAGTACTTTTTTTTTTTTTGAGACGGAGTCTCACTCTGTTGCCCAGGCTGGAGTGCAGTGGCACGATCTCAGCTCACTGCAACCTCTGCCTCATGGGTTCAAGCGTTTCTTTTGCCTCAGCCTCCTGAGTAGCTGGGACTACAGGCACGTGCCACCATGCCTGGCTAATTTTTTGTGTTTTTAGTAGAGACGAGGTTTCACTGTGTTAGCCAGGATGGTCTCAATCTCCTGACCTTGTGATCCACCTGCCTTGACCTCCCAAAGTGCTGGGATTACAGGCGTGAGCTACAACACCCAAACTCAGTGGGTGATTTTAATAGCATCTGAACACAACTGATGAAACTGAAGAGAGAATTAGTGAAGTGGAGTTGAGGTCGGAAGAAAATAAATAGAACCAAATACAATGAGTAATCATTGCAGCCTTAGGGAAAATTAGAGGAGTAGTAAGAAGACTGATTGCTAGCTTCTTAATATAATGGAAGTTGATAGACAAGTAATATTTTTAAATTGCTAATAGAAAATGCCAGTCAATAATTCTGAGCCTATTAAAATATATCATTGAGGAATGAAAGTGTATTAAGTGCATGTTTAGACACTGAGAATTTCTTAGCAATCGAACAACATTAAAGGGAATTCTAAATAATATTCTTTTTTTCTTTTTTGAGACGGAGTCTCGCTCTGTCACTCAGGCTGGAGTGCAGTGGCGCGATCTCGGCTCACTGCAAGCTCTGCCTCCCAGGTTCACGCCATTCTCCTGCCTTAGCCTCCCAAGTAGCTGGGACTACAGGCGCCCGCCACCACGCCCGGCTAAGTTTTTGTATTTTTTAGTAGAGACAGGGTTTCATTGTGTCAGCCAGGATGGTCTGTATCTCCTGATCTTGTGATCCACCTGCCTTGGCCTCCCAGAGTGCTGGGATTACAGGCATGAGCCACCGCGCCAGCCCTAAATAATATTCTTTAGGCAGGGATGTGATCCCAAGTGGAAACTTGGAGATGCAAGAAGGAATGAAGACTTAAGAAAAAAAAAAAAGTGAATGTGTGGGTAAATGGAAATAAACATTGGCTGTATAAGATAAGTAAATTCTGGGCTTCAAAATACGTATGGAATTAAAGAATGAATAGTGTGTATATCAGGAGGAGGTAACTTCAATATTCTAAGATCTTTGCATTGTTCAAGAAGTGGAAAATAAAAAAATACAAATTTACATTAGACTTTAAGATGAAGATGCATTTTGAAATCTCTAGAATAACAGCCAAAAGTATAGCAAGAGATTGTATAACTACTAGACTTAATAGAGGTGGGGAGATATGTACTAATAAAGTAAAACAAGAAAGGAGAAAAAAAACAGTACTAAGATGATACTGCGTGGGATAGTAAATGTCAATATAAACATAATTATATTACTTGAAATACATTAAATGGGCTAAAGCAAGTCTCAACTGAAATAATTCTAAGTATATTCTCTGACAACAATGTAATTAAACAAGAAATTACTAACAGCCAAAATTAATAACAGATAATCCTCACTTTTTGTAAACTTTATGTATAGTTGACCCTCGAACAATATGGGTTTGAATTACATGGGTCGACATACATAGATTTTCTTCCACCTCTGTCACCCCTGAGATAGCAAGACCAACTCCTCTTATTCCTCCTCCTCCTCTTCAGCCTATTCCACATGAAGACAATGAGGATGAAGACCTTTAAGATGAT